GGACAATCAGAGAACATGTCAGAGGAAGGTGGCCTCCAGCAGGAGAAAGAGATAAGGGGCTGTCGTAAAACACCCACAGTTGCTGGGATTTCGTGCAATTCTAGACTCTCTTTTCCTGGGACTTCACCATGGAGTCTGGATTTTTATCCAAATTCAGTTCCTTTTGCTGGTACAGCAAGCACCATCTGCTCTTTTTAAAGGATGCGTATCTCTACAGTGTGTGCCTTGAGTGCCTAGAACTATGTCCTTCACAAAGTAAGCACAGGAGTGAACACAAACACCTTGCTTACGTCCTTTGCATAAGCTGTCTTCAGAACTCGACACCCTTGTGGAGCAGATGCAACGATGAAGCAACCTGAGACTCAGAGGAGTTCGTTAGCATTGCCAAGTTTGCATGGCCCAGAAATGAGACCTTTGCATTTGATTCAAGAGCTCCGACCTCAAAGTTCATGTTTTCAATGCATTATTTTTTCCCCTCATGAGGAAATCATTTCTTTGCATACTCTCCTCTTGTGTCTCCCACCTTTTGCAGATACGGTGGGGAAAGGAGTGTGTCCAATTAACCCACTGGCTGCCACTGATTTGAACACAAGCTCAGTGTCTAGTCTGTCTCTGTCCTCTTAGCATCTGAGTCTGAATCACAGAAGAAACTCAAAGATGTTGGTGGATTGTAGGGATCCACTGAAGGTTACTTAAAGAGGGCATGGCCACAAGTCAGCCACTTGGCAATTAACTACTTTAGGAAATAAATACAGGAGGATAAGTACTCTGGTGACCATAAAGACATCACAAAGATTCCACTGACAATGGTGTCTTGGCCACAGGCAACCAAACTTCCTAACTGGGTTCCCCTCTTTTCTAACAAGTGAACTCCTTAAGGAGAGATGGAGGCCTGGTGTGTGTCTGTAGTGTCTGTGTGTTTATAGTGCCTGGCCTTGTGCTTCTTATCCTGATACAGCCATTGCTGGAACCCAAGGAACGGGAAGGTTGGGAGGAGTGGATAACCCCATTCAAGGGGGACTGACTTTCTTCCCAAAGGTTCAATGGTGAAGTTTCTCAGAATCTGTTTCCCTCTCAGAACAACAAGGAGCCCAGAGTCTCCTCTGCAGACAATGTGCTCTATCCATTCAGGGTATCAGACTCGGCCTGGGTATCAGGTAGATGGACATGGAAAGTTATTTCTGGACTGTGTGTTTACAGCAACCAATGCCATCGGTCATATAGGGTTTTCATGGTTTTGAGATACAATGTGGAAAGAGAAGATCTCCCCTCTCTAATACATTTTCAAAGCAAACAGTTTTTTTTTAAATGGGTGGCACTAAGGCATTGTTCCTGACTGCAAACTAGCTCGGTATTCTACCTATGGGGTTTTAGAAGGTAGTTCTAGGCTAGTGACTAGATTCAGACTTTTATGTTTCAGTTTTCTAAGGAGTCTTGTACTTCAGACTGGTCTTGAACTTGCTGTGCAGCCAGGGCTAACTTTGAACTTCCAGTCTTCCTGTCTTAGCTCCCAAGTGCTGGGAACACAAGCCAGGCCCATTGTGCCCAGTTTTACCTCAAGCTGAGGTACCTCAAGCTGAGGTAAAACTCGGGGTTTTATGCATGCTGGGCAAGCATTCTACCAACTGGGCTACATCCTCTGCCCTCCTCTGTGCTTGGTCTTTGGTGGTGCCAGAAACTGAACTCAGGGCCGTACACATATGAAGTGAGAGCTCTACCACTGAGCTGTAGTACCTGCTGAACAAGGACATTACAAAAACCAACCATGAACACGGCTTGCTCCAGTATTAAGAACTATCTATACTTGCCTCTTCTTGCAGATCTTACTTGGTTTTATGCCAACTTGACCTTTCAAAAATTGACTGATTATTTCTTTGTGTGTGCATGCCTGCTTGAGTTTATGTGCACCACGCATGTGTAGGAGCCTTTGGGGCCAGAAGATTGGGTTAGTTCCCTAGAACTAGAGTTACAGAATGTTGACACCCATGTGGGTGCTGGGAATCAAATCCAGATCTTCTGAAAGAGTAGTAGGCACACCTAACTGCTGGGCCATCTCTCCAGCTCCACACAACTCCTATTTTTAATTAAATTATTTGTGAATGGAAGAGGTAAGCCATGAATGAACTCTTTTATACCTAGGCCATGGCTTAGTAACAATTTTTTTTTTTTTAACAGTGATCCACCATGGGCTTTGAAACTAATTACTCTCTATTAATTTGCCTGGTCTTAAATATCAACTTTTCTTTTCCCAATAGGATATCCCTTCAAAAACTGATTACTTCTAAAATCATCAAGTTGTTACTGTTACCCCCACTTAATTATTAATGAAAAATAGAAAAAAAAACTAATATAAGCCTTCTAGTCACACAAGATTTTTTTTCCTAATTAGGGAAGTCCTGGCTGAGCACTGACATCATCTATTTCATTCAATTCCACCAATCTTTGTAATATTATGTAGGATTTATGATACTACATGTATCATGCTCAGTTCAAGATTCCTGAGAGCAATGTTTAGCAAAAGGGCAGACATGCATCAAATACCTAGAAGATGACAAACAAGAGTTGTTTATAAAGGTTCATGCAGGACAGGAAGCTCCTGAGATTATTTAGAGGAAGAAAACATCCAACAGGAAAGAAAAAGTGACCTTGAAAGAATCTGAATAAAGTGGGCATTCTGCATGATAAAGATAACATGAAAGCGAATGGGGGTGTCCTGTGTGGTTAAAATACAGGTTGCCTGGGCATTAGGAGACCCTCCAGATCGTCTCTCAAATGGGACCCGAGAAACTTGACCCCACAGTGCCCCCCGTGTTCCTTCTCACGAGGGCAGAGTGTCCGAGTATTCTCCCGCAACCATGTCTTGCTGCATCAAAGTGTCTCTAATTTATGCTGCCAATCTGCCCCAAGGCAGAGGGGTAAACAGAGGAAGACATTTGCAAGTCTCCCCATTGCCTTTTGGTTTAGAAATTCTCACCATTGGATATATTCACCAAATATGAGATGATGACCTGTGTCCCTTTGTATCCCAAATCTCAAGGTACAAGAAAGTTAGGATCCACCTGTCAGACAAATTAAGCAAGGAAGGGCTCAGAAATTCCTCTCTCCTTTTCTGAAGGCATCACCCACAGCACTGGATGGTGAGTTATACCCGTCTGCACCCATGCCCACTCACATAGCCAAGTGAATCAGGCAGGCCTTTGGTTTTTATCCGAGTCAGATCTGGAGCAAAGAAACAGTTCCCTGGCCTGGGCCAATGCCTCCACTCGGTGGAGCCAGCAAAATGTTAAGCTGCATAAGCAGGAAGACTTGAGCTTGGAACTCTAGCACTCGAATAAAAAGCCAAGTGCGGTGATGCAGACCTGTAGTCCCAGATCTGGGCAGGTGGAGACCCTGGGGTTTACTGGCTAGTCATCTAGATGAATCAGTGAGTGATCAGTGAGGAAGACCTTGTCTCAAAAAGTAAGGGGACAGCAACCGAGAAAGACATCCAATGTTCACTTCTGGCTTCCGTATGCATACACGCACCCCCAACACACATGCATATGCACACAGAAAGAAGCATGTACACACACACACACACACACACACACACTGGACATGGACACCTCCCAAAAGATAATGAGTTTAGTGTTAAGAACTTGAGTTGGAGATGAGTGTAATGTGTAGGTGGAACTGCATGCCAAAGTAGGTACTTAGATAAAAGTTAGGGAAACGGGAGCAGAATTAGGTTTGGGAAACAGGAGTGTGTTCCTGGGAGTGGAGGATGTAGCCAAGAATGAAGATTGAAAGAAATACAAAGCTTTTCTTTATTTATATCTCAGATACTGAAAATACAAGTAGAGAAAGAAGGCCACAGAGCCTTCAGAGCAGTGGGAAGAGGAGAAAAGAGGAGAACCAGAGGGATGTTCACCGAGTAGGAGCTTTGGTCCGTGGCAGCTGCCTCTGCTCTGGAAGCCAGACAGTGATGGTTCTAACAGAGACCGTGCTTGGGGCCACTGTGCAGCCCAAAAGTTTGGACAGGTTCCTAGAAGCAATGCAAAACCCAAGTTGTCTCTGAAACTAGCCAGGAGCCTGAACATACACACACACACACACACACACACACACACACACACACACACACACACTCAAAATTACTTACAATGTTAGATACTTCTTTTCCAACTTACAGATTAATTATAGTCTGAGTTTGTGGAAATGATACTGATATGAAACACTGGTGCTGACTTCTTAGCACCATAATTGTAGGGTATTTGCTCATTTGTACAATAGATTTTAGAAACTGATACAGACACAGTAAAGTTTCTATTTCCAAGACCTTGTGCGCCTAGGATGGGAAAGGATGACAGTTAAGATGTGCTGTGGGATGGTCTGTATGTCAAATCTGTTGCTCTGATTGGTCAATAAATAAAACACTGATTGGCCAGTGGCCAGGCAGGAGGAAGTATAGGCAGGACAAGGAGGAGAAGATTTCTGGGAAGTAGAAGGCTGAGTCAGAGAAACTGCCAGCCGCCACCATGACAAGCAGCATGTGAAGATGCCGGTAAGCCACGAGCCACGTGGCAAGATATAGATTTATGGAAATGGATTAATTTAAGCTATAAGAACAGTTAGCAAGAAGCCTGCCATGGCCATACAGCTTGTAAGCAATATAAGTCTCTGTGTTTTTTCTTGGTTGGGTCTGAGCAGCTGTGGGACTGGTGGGTGACAGAGATTTGTCCTGACTGTGGGCAAAGCAGGAAAACTCTAGCTACAAAGATGTGTAACACAATGCTATCCCCTAAATGAAATGACAGACAGACAGCCATCATCGTGAAGCGCATGATTACTGGGAACCCTGGTGACAGGTGGTTGGGGTCCTGCCGGTGAAGCCAGCATTCATTTTGTCTGAATTCACCAAGCAGTAGAGATGTGGTGACCCGCCGGCCCTCTGCTGTGACACAATAGGAGGTGGCCAGCACCAGCCTGGGGCCACTGTGGCTGTAGGACCACAACCTAACAAGCCTCTGGGTATAACGGCCACCTGAGCCAAACCACAAGGACCAGAGGGACTCACTACCACCATGGAAACCTACAGAACAGAGGAGCTGGGTTCTCTGTCAAGTAAACAGTATACAGAACAAGCAGGACATAACACAGGTATAAAGATACTTCAAATAAATGAAAGGAGTCAATGTGGGGCTTTAAGGAAAGCTAGATAATTTTTTTTCTTTTTTTTTACAAAAAGTGGTGTTTTTAAAAGATAGGTAGGAGCCAGATGTGGTGGTATACACCATTAATCCCAGCACTCGGGAGGTAGAGGTGGGCGGATCTCTGAGTTCGAGGCCAGACTGGTCTACCTAAAGATTTCCAGGACAGCCAGGCCTACACAGAGAAACCAGGTGTTGAAGAAATAAAATAAATGAATGAATGAATTAAAAAGATGAGTGGGGATATTTAAATACTGACTAGAAATTACAATTAAAATTAAGTGTGATAATGGTGTGGTGCTCATGATGCTGAAGAGTATCTATTCACACACACAGACATACACACACACACATAGTGATTTATTTGTGGATGAAATAATGTAATGGATTTGCTTTATAAAGTGGGAGAATTGGTGTGGGATACAGATGAGGAAATAACACAATGCTGCTGTTTGTGGAAGCTGGAGTTTAAATTAATTCAGATTCTTTATCTGATTTCCCCTAGTTACACCCCGGCTTCCACCCCATGGTACTGGTGAACAAACCTAGGGCCCTGTGCATATTAGGAAAGCACTCCGCCATCAAGCTACACCTAGCCTAAGTTCTGTATGCCCTTAACCAATTTCATAATGAAACACTGAGGATATGGTAGATCAATTGCTATAATGAAAGTGCCAGCCAGTCATGGTGGCACATGTCTGTAACTTTATTGCTCTGGGGATTAAGACTGCAAGTTTAAGGCTAACCTGGGCTGTATAGTGAGGTCCTGTGTCAACAAAACAGAACTGGAACTGGGAGATGGCTCCATGGTGGAGAACACTTTATGCTCTTGAGGAGGATCAGAATTTGGTTTCCAGAACCCACAACGGGTGGTACACAACCAGTTGTAATCAGCCTCAGCTCCAGGAAGTTCACTGTCACTTTCTGGTCTCTTCAGATACACTCATGTACTTGCACCCCACCCACCCACCCCGTCTCTCTCTGTGAGAAAGAAAGACAGAGACAGAGAGACAGAAAGAAGGAATGAAGGAAGGAAGGGAGGGAGGGAGGGAGGGAGGGAGGGAGG